GAGCTTCCAGACCCAGCTGAGCCAGTGGCATGTGCCTGAGGTAGGAGGAGGCAACTGCTCCACCACACCAGCATCCAGGCCCACAGAGAGTCTGGGCTTTGTGGAAGCAACAGAGAGTAGATACTAATATATTTTCAGTTGGGAACTCAGAGACACAGAGAAGTTGAGAAGCCTGATGCATGTTACACATGCTTCCTAATGTTGTCACGTGTCTCCTGACCTGGCGGTTTCCGTGTCTTCCCTGGGGAGCTATTTGCCTTGGAGAGAAGAGCTTTCCCTGAATCCTGTACCAGATGCCACCACGTGGATTTTCTTGGATATCTCAATCAGAATGATCTTTTCTAGTTCCCACCATTTGCCTGCAAATTTCATGATTTCCTTGTTTTTAATTGCTGAGTAGTATTCCACTGTGTAAATGTACCACAATTTCTATATCCATTCCTCAACTGAGGGACATCTGGGTTGTTTCCAGCTTCTGGCTATTACAAATAAAGCTGCTACGAACATGGTTGAGCAAATGTCCTTGTTGTGTACTTGAGCATCTTTTGGATATATGCCTGCTGGGAGCCAAAGCCAGGTAGTGGAAAGTTACTGACAGCTGCAACAAGGTCATGAGTGAGAGATTTATGTTTCAGGAACTTATGAGACATCTGTTTGTCAGGCTAGAGCATCTTGAGATATCTTAGCTGACATTCTTATGGTATCTCTCTTAGCAAACATTCTTGCAGTATTTTGCATCATAAACCACCCTGCTATCTTTTGTATCATAAACTACTTTGCTGACCCATTTTCCCTTCCTGCCTTCTCCCTATAAAGTTGTGTGAAATTTTTCAAATAAATGAGAGCTCGATCAGATGATAGACTTGTTCTCATTCCTTGTGTCTCTTGTTCCACCCTATTCATTTTGCCCCTCCTTAGGAACCCGTTGAACCCCCACTGGTCGGGGCATATGCCTAGGAGTGGTATAACTGGATCTTGAGGTAACACTATTCCTAATTGTCTGAGAAAGCACCAGATTGATTTTCAAAGTGGTTGTACAAGTTTACATTCCCACCAGCAATGGAGTAGGGTTCCTCTTTCTCCACATCCTCTCTAGCATGGGTTGTCACTTAAGTCAGAAGCAGAAAGACACACATGGTATATACTCACTTATAAGTGGATATTACACATACAATATAGGATAAACATACTAAAATCTGTACACCTAAGGAAGCTAAGCAAGAAGGAGAACCCTGGGTAAGATGATCAATCTTCATTCAGAAAGACAAATGAGACAGACATTGGAAGAGGGAGAAAACAGGGAACAGGACAGGACCTATCACAGAAGGCCTCTGAAAGATATGCTGAGATTCATAGTCAAACTTTGTGCAGAGCCCAGGGAATCTTATGAAAGAAGGGGGAGACAGTAAGACCTGGAGGGAATAGGAGCTCACAAGAAGAGCAACAGAACCAAAGTATCTAGGCACAAGAATATTTTCTGAGACTGATACTCCAAACAAGGACCATGCATGGAGATAACTTGGAACCTCTGCACAGAAGTAGCCCATGGCAGCTCAGTGTCCAAGAGGGTTCCCCAATAATAGGAACAGGGACCTCGCTGACATGAACTTATGGGCTGGCTCTTTGATCACCTCCACCTGAGGGAAGAGCAGCCTTACTGGTCCACAGAGGAAGACAAAGAAGCCAGTCTTGATGAGACCTGATAGACTAGGGTCAGATGGAAGGAGAGGAAGACATCCCCTATCATGGTACTGGGGGAGGGGCATAAGAGAAGAAGAGGGAGGAAGGGTGGGTTTGGGAGGGGGTGGAGGAGGGGGCTCAGCTGGAATACAAAGTGAATAAACTGTAATTTATAAAAATAAAATATAATAATTTTTTAAAAAGAGATGTGGCTTTTACTGACAGGAGCTACTGTGGACTGTTGTCTATTGCAGTCCTGGTAAACTGACAAAGACTGCAACAACCATGCTCCTCTGTCTGTAGGGTGCACTGGAGTGCTGGCGGTGGTTGCTGTAGCTCATTTTCCAGGGCTCTCAAAGGAGTGCAAGTTGTAAGCAGACCCCATGCCAGGTTGTGTGCTGACTGATACCCACACCCACGGCCAAAGCGCAGCCCTCCTCCAGGGTGACCTGAGCCTCAGCCCCCTGCAACGTATGCCTGTGCTCATTTTTGGACAAATGTCTGTCACTGGATTAGTACATTATTAACAAAAAAAAAAAAAAAAAAAAAAAAAAAAAAAAATTTGGCCTGGGCTCCTTCCTACTCAGGTGCTCTGGGAAAAGGGAGCAGACCAAAATGGCATCCGTTACCATATGTAAAAATAATCAAGGTAAAACTGAAGGAACGGGAATGGTTCCAGAGCCAGTTTCTCCTGAAAACCGGACCAGTTCGCCTGAATCAGCATGGTAAAGTATCCTCTCCATTTAGCTAGGAATAAGCCCCACCCCGCACCCGGCTGAAGTGCCACAGTAGCCTGACATTAACGGAGCCATGTTGCACAGAGGGAGGTCATGTTACTGTGCCACCCCACCCTGAGCCTGCTTCTGTGTTTCCTTTTCACCGGTCCCAGAGTCGAGGGATCCCTGCCCGTGGAGGAACAAGCCTAGAGCACCTAGTTCGCCCAAGGACTCTGCTGATAGCTTCGATTGGGCCAGAGAAATTGAAGTGGTTGGGCCAGAGCTCACTTGGTAGTTCGATGCTGGGTGTATGGCCCATGTGGACAGTGGGCAGCCAGCCTCAGGTCTAGAAGACCCGTGTTCTGGGCTACACATGGCCGCTCAGTTAACCTGTATGTGACACCAGACAGCGCACCTTGATAGGAAGTCGAAGCTGCACTGTTTCCCTGAAGCCTGGGGTGGGCTTTGCAGGCAGACGTCCTGGCATTGTTCCCCAGGGTGCGGAGGGGCTAAATCTGTGTGCAGCCAGCAGTGGGCAGAGGGGCTGAGGATTTGAGGGACCAGTGCCTCCCAGGAAACTGGTTTGCTACTGACTAGCTACACGACTGAGAAGGAGGGAAACAACTACCTAGAACCTTACTTTTCCATCTCATCTGCCCCCAGCATCATCGTGTGGCCATAAGACTCCATGGGGAAAAAGCTGGGGTGTCAGGCCGATTTGCAGGAGCTCAGAAAGGCGAGCAACAAAGCTGACAGCTGACCTCAGCCTGCTCTCATGGTTTTAGGAAAGCAGTCCCTGAACCAAAACCTCTTTTCAGTTCAAATTCAGTTTGTCAGTGATGTTCCGAGAAGTTTGCCAGCTTGACTCGGGGGCACACAGCAAATGCTTTCGGAGTACAGGTCACCAGACCCTGAGATTTTAAATTCTCTCTGGTGGCTGATGGAGTTTGTGTTATCAGAAGCAATTGAGGTCGGAGCCCCCACCGCGAGTGTGTCATTTGTTCAGTCAAAAGTCAGGACCCAACATTAAGCTAAACCACGTGAAATTGCACAGAGGTGACCTTTTATATGTACAGGAAGCTCCATGACTCAATCTTGTACTTTTTGTGTTCATTCTTGTCCTGAGAGTAGCTGGCAGGGCCCCTACATCAGCTCGGGGTGAGCGGAGAGCCCTCAGAATAGGAGCAGCCTGGGGGAGTCAGGAAACGTGTCCGTTCTGCTTCACCACTGGACTTCTGGCTGTTGCAATCATTGGGGCTGTCTGGCCTGGTGACCAGTGTGGCTCTCGTGATAGCCTCATGCCGTGGCTCTGGAAACTTGACTATAACCAGAAGGCCAGGGGGAGGACGGAGAGAAGGAAAGAGCTGGGGTGTGGACACCATTGAGAGTCAGGCAGAAGTGATCATGGGGTAACCCTGGGTTCCATGAGAGGTATGCTCTGCCCCATAGCCTAGGAGCCCCTGTGGTGACCGTCCGGAGCCATCCACAGACCATGGTCCTATGACTGAGGATGAAGATACGGGACGTGGAGTAAGTAGAATCAGGCCTTATAGGCCTATGTTCTTGAGACCCAGAGATGCTTACACTGCTCACTGGGGTAGGCGCTGCTTCTAAGAGCTGTGTGAGTCCCTCTCCTGAACACCTGGGCAGGCCAGAAACCTCCAGGGCAGGTTGGGTTCCTGTTCCAGCTCCTTGGAGGAAGGGCTTGGTCGTGTGGCTACTTGCTTTAACTGAATAATTCTTTCATGGGGGGGGGGTGTTTGATGTGTATCCCTCCATATGAAGAAAGGCTCATATATGACAACATAGAGAACAAGGCTCAGGAAGCCTATAAAAGTTACAACATTTGTAAGCTCCTCCCTGACCTACAAGCCCATTTCTGACCACATGAAAGCAGTTAGCCATAGCTGGGAAAGGAGGCTCTCTTCTGTGGGGTTGCCTACAAGTTGTACAGGGAAGTCTAGGGATGCAGCTATCGTGAATTGTCACCCATGCTGGGGGAAGGAGGGGCTTTTCAGTGAAATGAGTCATCCACACCCTGTAAGTAACCACCAGTAGACTCATTGGGTCCCCAATGAGTGCAGTGATGTCATTGGGACCCTGAATGCAGTGAGTAGATGCTTATATCTCTTGAGGAAAAGTCATACAAGAGTCTCCACCAGAAATCTCCTCTAGCCATTCTCAGGCAATCCCAGGCAAGATGGAAGGGCCAGTCATGGTGACGTAACATGCTGGGATGAGAAGGGATGTGATCCTGCTTTGATGAAACCTGGAGATGCTGAAGCTGGCGGCTGGCTCCTGAAACGGCAGCTCTGGGGGTCTGTGAGGGTCCCATTGGCAGTGGGAGAGAGCCCACATTGGCAGAGGACAGAGTGAGAGACTAGAGAACACAGGCACTTGGTGGACTTTGGTGGGTCTTTGAGCATGAGACCCTTCAGGTTTCCAGATATGATAGATGTTTTTGAGAGCAGAAGGTTCCAGGACCAGAGTCTGAGGTCTCAGCCATAGCTCTCTGCCCACAATCTATTTGCGTGGATGAAGGGGACATCAAGACACACAACTCACTTGGGGCCTAAAGAAACACAAAAACCACAGAGTCCAGGATTTGCAGTATCGCTCAGGCATGGGCTGGACCAGCCTGTGTTTAATGCCACTTGGGGGAAGGGGAGCCAGTCCGAAAGGAGGAAGAATGGCTTCAGAAAATGGTGATTATTGTGTGGGATTCACCACTTTTCCCACAAAGAGTGGGCTCTGAGTGTGTTTATCACATATTATGACAACAAATGGGTTCTCAAAGCGCACATCAGGGGGTATAGACATGGGGACAGCTTCTAAAACAGTGGCTCCTGCAGCTTCCGTCCCTCTCTCATCAAGGGTCAGCACAGCCTTGTGCACAGCCTGTGGAGAGAGAAGCAGAGAGAAGTTGGAGGTGGTGTGATTGCCACTCCTGGCTGGGGACTCATCCAGGGGGGACTTCACTAGGAGACAGGTCTCCCTCCATGTCTCCCTGCTCCTCCACCCTTTCCATGGTGATCACCTAAGGGCCCTCACTGTCTCTCAGTTTTTGCCTGCCATGGTCCATCCTTTCCATTATCCCTTCCTGATTCCATCTCTCATGGCCTTGGATGCAGCTCATAGCTAAACAAGGAGGGGAACATCATGTCCTCTGCACAAGCATCCCCTTCCCAGTATGTAGCAGTGAGCATGTTGTGATGAGGGTTCCGAAGATGACCTTCAATGTCCAGACTCTTAAGAACATCCTGCCCGTTCCGGACTGCCTTTAGTTTCTCTGAACCATTGGCCTGGTTGACTGAGCTCATAATTCAAAACTGGCAGTTCACGAGTAGCTCTGAAAATAAGGGATGGTAGATTCCAGGATACTCTCTGGGGTCCCCAGAGGCCTAAATCTCTATGTGAATAAATATAAACTGAGTCCAACAATGATGAGACTAAAGGATTGGGGTAGCATTTCAGGGAAGGCCTCATAATTCCATCTGCATAAGAAGACACTCCAGCTGACATCTGGCCACATCAAGCAAATCCCGACAGTCCTCAGAAAGAGCTCAGCCTGGACCCTGTCTGCAACCCTTTCCTCTTCCCCAGCCTTGTACCAGAGCTACCTTGACACCTGTGGTGCCCTACAGACACCTAGGACATCAGAACACCACCATGGTTAGGTAACTTCACCTTGCTGAGCTTCAGGGGAACGTCAGTTGTGATTCCAGAGAGGTCGGCCCCATTGCTGAAGACCTGGGTGATGCCCAGTGGACTCAGGACTTTCTTCAAGTTATAGGTCCCAGAGATGGACAGTTTGGGGAGGTGCACGTTTGCTGACCTGGTGGGCAAGAAAGAGTTAAAGTAAAAGGAGTTCCACTGGACTTCTCTGTTTGGCTGAGACCCACCCAGCTGTGGAACAGTTGCTGGCTGGTTCTCACACTGAACATGCTATGCTGCTACCCGCAGCAGCACCTCAAAGTGTCCTCATGCGCTTTCATTTTCCATGGTCCCCATCTAACATAAGGGAACTTGAAATCAGTGGGCATTCAGTTCAAGCTCCTGGAAGCTCCTAAAGTGCCACCTCCTCTGAGAAGCCCTCCAGGCAGATTCAGGGAATTCACACGAAACCGTGTCTCACTGTGTCCTACTGCTTTTAGCCAATCCCTTCTCTTGAGGCACGGAATCCCCTTGGATCTGAGTCTCAGGATAGCTAGGGTCAATGCAGCAGGGTGACATTTCCCTAACCCTCCCACGGTGAAGGTTAAGCTTTCAGTTTCTACAGGACAAGAAAAGGCTTGATAGGATCTTACTGAATCTGCCACCCATCCTGGTCTCAACCTTGTCTAGTTTTCCACGTTTGGGCCTAAGCAGAGGTCTGCCGGAAGCAGCATCTGCTCACACCTAACCTCAGGCCTGCTGGAAATTCCATGTGGCTCATGGCTCTTCATCTAACAGACAGCAGAGCCTAGCCTCAGAGTGCACAGGCCCCCTGACCTGTGGAACTCTCTCTAAGACTGCTGGGTCCTGGAGACCTGAAAGCTCCACTGAGGAGTGACATGGGAACATGGCTTTCTGCAAACTTACCCGGAAAACTCTATTGCTGTTCTTCCTTGTTCAAGGTGTTTCACGAAGCAATCCTTCAATTCCCTATAAACTTCCCGTTTGATCTCTACCCTCAGTGTGGCCAGGGTTTGAGTCTAGCCTCGGTTCTCAGTTCAGCCACAACATGTACACTGCTGTTCCAGCCCCAGGCTCTGGGTTAGAATATGCTGTATCCTCTGGGGATGGAAGTTCTTCCAAAGCACGGTCTGGGCTTTCCCTTCCCTCCTCAGTGCTGTCCCTCCCCAGACTCTGCCTGGCACTATCTGAAGGGTTATTTTAGCCCAAGATTATACACCTAACTGTGGCCCTGGGACAGAGGCCACCCCCTGCAAGAGCTTTCTGTCTTTTGGGACACTCAAAGGACTGTCTGTGGACTCACCTTGTGTGCCTGTTTAGCAGGAACTTGTGAATGTGTTCCTTGGTGAGCGTTTGCTCCAGGTGCTGCATCTTGCCCTCATCAGGCAGGATGAAGATGGCGGTGGCGTTGCCCAGGTAATCCATCAGCAGCACCCAGCTGGACAGAGTGTCGCAGTAATGCACATCAAACATGCCCAGGCGGTTCATCATGGGCACCTTCACGGTGGTGGACTTGTCCACATGGAAGTCAGCTTCCTCAGTGTGCTCTGGATCGAATGGCTTCTCCCACTTGCCTGCGGGGTGGGGGGACATGAGAGGAGATCTTAGCCAGTGAGGTGGTGACCCAGGCCCTTAGTTTTTTATGTGCACAGGGGATGAACTATAAGCCTTCCGGGCTTCCCAGGGACTTTGGTGAGGATAACTCAGCTCTAGAGGAGGACTCAGAATTTCCAGATAACAGACGTTGACAGCTACTGTCCCTATTGTGGCCAGGAGAACATTTTACACAATTGTTATATACTCACTGAAAGGTAACTTGGGTTATAACTGGAAATCTTGACAGCAATTCTTTTTGCTAGCTTCTCCTCAGAGGCAGCATGATCACTGGTCACTGGGAGTTCAGTTATCGCTAAGGACAAACATTTTGAGCACCTCAAATCCCTTTCTATATCCACGGGTTCAATGCAGAAGTCCACCTGCTATATAAGACTGCCTCCATCAAGATCATTGGAGTGAGTAGGGGTCTCAGGGAACCACCAACAAGGACATCAGCATGGGTAAGAGTCTCAGAGACACAAATCAGCAAGGTCATCGGAGTGGGCATGGGTCTCAGGGATCCATCATCAAAGCTGTCAGAATGGCCTGGGGTCTCAGGGACCCAACATCAAGGCCATCAGCATGAGAAGGGCATCAGGAACCCTAACCCCACCTTCCTATTGGATAGGAAGAGGTGAAGGGGTTCGGAAGGGGGTGATACCTGTCTTTGTCACAGAAGTTATGGGACTTGAGCTGTGCTGGCTTGATATTCTGTTCCATAGGACTCAGCGCGGGTGGGCCAAGGGAGTCATGGAGGGCAGAACAACTCCTGGCCTTAACTCTCAGACTCTCCTCACATGATTTCTCTGGGGGTACAAATGCACTAACCACTTCCAGGCCGGGGGTCATGCCTGGGGTCAAGGTTAGTTGATCAGGTGCTCATATCCCAACACTCCTGTGCACTGTGTAACCTCACTAATTCTTTCATCACCTCACAGCAGACAACTAGCTTTGTTCCTGGTGATATGGACAGTCACACCTCAAGCAGGTCAAATATCAAATATCAAGCAGCAGTGGCAAGGTTTAAGCCCGTGTTTTCAGAGTTCACACTGGCATGCAACAGAACTGCTGCTCAAATACATCCTGTGGAACAGTGCTCTCTTCATACCATCACAACAAATGCAGCTGGAAGGATTGCATGTTCTAAGACTTTCCTTGGTAGGGGAAGTGAGCATCAGGATTATAAAGGCTCTGATAAGTCCGTCAAAGAAGCCAATGGATTCGATTGCTGAAGCCAGTTCCCAAACTTAAATGATTATTTAAAAGATGTCAGAGTTTACCCATTGGAGAGTAAAGAATGTGATGAGACCCAGTGTCACAGCCCAGAGTGAGAGCTCAGAAACTGGTCCTTGAGAATGTGTATGGGGGTTTCCATGAGAACCAGCTCAAGCCCGTTATGTGATCTTACCTCTAAAGAAAATGTAATTCACCAGGGCGAGAACTGTGTCTGTGTCCAGGTCTTTCACCAAGTCAACTATCTTTCCTTGGGTTCCCTTCTCCACGAAACTATTAATGGTTTTCTTGGCTTCTTCTGAGTCTGCAAAGTTGACGGAGAAGGCTTCTGAGTGGTAATGGTTCTTGACCTCTTCCAGAAACTTCTCCACTAGATTCAGACTGTTGTTGACAAACAGACTGCTGCCTGTGGTCAGCTGCAGCTCATTGTCTGGCCTGTTGAGGGTTTTGAGGAGATGCTGGAAGCCCTTGTGGATGTCAGCTTCGGATGTTTCTGTGAGGTTGAAGTGCAGGCCCTGTAGAAGCTGGTCTTTAGTGTCATCTTTGCTCCCCAGGGAGAGCATAGCGAGGGCTGTGGCAATGCTCAAGGGAGACAAGAAGATGTTGGTAGTATTGGACTGATGGGAGAGCACCCGGTAGAGACTGAAGGCAAAGTCTGCCAGGTTTGAAGCCATGATGTGATCCTGGTGGGAGCTGTCTGTCTTCTGTGCATCCTCAGCCAGGAAGCTGGGGACCAGGCAACACAGGCCTGCCAGAAGCAGGAGCCCCCAGGAGATGGAGGATGTCATTTTCCTGCAAGACATAGAAAGAGACACAAACTCTCATCAGCTACCACTTGGTACAAATGTAAAGTAACCAGCGTCTATTGACAGGTGCCGTGCTCAGCCTAGATTGAGCACTGTTCTGAATTGCTGTCACCGAAGGGAAAAAAAAAAGTGTGTTTTAAAAAATGGAGACAGCTCTGTGGATAAAGCACTTGTTAGGCAAGTGTGAGAATAGGAGTTTAGGTGTCCAGGATGCACATAAGATATGGACGTAGCAGCCAACTGCAACCCCCGCACTCGGGGGCTGAGAGGGCATCCTTGAGGAAAGGCAATGGGCTTTGCTAGCCAGAATCTCTGAGCAGCTCCTCATTCAATGAGAGACACTAACCACCTCTATAAAGGAAGTGGTTGGGGAGAAACCCCCAAATCAATGTGAGTCCTCTATATGCACATGCCCATGTATGTTTCCACATACATGTGAGCACATGCACATACGCTCACCTGTCACTCGCATGCATGTGTGAAAGAAAACAAAGAAAGCAAGATCAGATAGTATGCTCTGCATCTGCTGGTCCAGTGCTGTCCTGAGCTCTCGAATGTATGAGCTGCCAGGGTCCTGCAGGGAAACCATTACTGCAGCCCTTAACATTAATGCATAATGTTAAATTACGCCTCCAAATTTAACAAACAGAAAATAACACAGCAGATGGAAGTTGTCCCAAAGAGGTGGTCTGCTTACTGACTGATATTCTCAACAGTTCAAGTTCCACCTGAAATGACCTTGCTGCCCAAGTCCCAGCCCCATTTTACAAGGAAGAAACCAAAGCACGGGCCAAGAAGCGGATTTGTCAGTAATTACAAGGGGAACATTATGACCTGGACTAACAATCAACTGAAGCTGCAAAAATCCACGGGGGCCTTCACAGGGTGGGGACAAAACGCACCAGGTGACCTCAGGCCAGAGGCTGACAAATCAAATCCTGACATGACCACCACTATTTGCTAGGTAACCAAGAGCATTTGGGAAGCACAGCTCAGACTGTGCAGCCGCAGCTATATGGAGTGTGTCTGGGCTCTGGGGGAAGCTAAGAAGAAAATATGCCCTGTGCACAGATGCTGTACTATGTATGTGTTTGTACATTTTTTGTACAGGTGCATGTACATGTGTGTGTAGTGGCCAGAGGGCCTCCTCAGGTGTGAATCCTCAGGTCACATCCAACTTTCCTTATCAAACAGTGTTTCATTGGCTTGGAGGTTGACAGTTCAGCTAGGATAGCTGGCCAACGAGCCAGAGATCTGCCTGTGTCTGTCTCCCTAGTGCTGGGATTGCAAAAGTTTCCCTCCACGCTTGGCTTGTTTCTTGGCTTCTAGGGAGTAAAGTTGGGTCCTCATACTTGTGTGGCAAGCATTGCACTGACAGAGCTATGTCCTCATCCCAGACATTGGACTTAGTTCCAGGGATCTCTGTTTGGGGGATGGGGATGAGGTGGCATGCTCTCCTATTTGGGGGCTGCTGAGCTGTAAGGAGGCAAGGCTAGCGTGGGGGAGGAGAAAGGCCCCGCTGGCTAGGGTGAGCATGCTCTCTTTCATCCCTACGTCCCATCACCTCTCTGGTTTCTTCCTTTGACGATGAAGGGTCTGAGGCCTGGAGAGAACCCACCACTGACTGACACAGCAATGAGCTTAGGTTTCAGACTCGGGAATGCCAGGATGGGGTCAGATAGTTGAGAAGTAACTTAAGTGAGGAGACGTTTGTTTTGGTTGTGGTTTGAGGGGCTGTGGTGAAAAAGGTGTGCTGGTGGTAGCAGCCCAGTGACTGCTGACCTACACCTCGGGGGTGGGGGGGACCTGGTGGAGGAAGCCAGAGCTCAGCTCTCTTCTTCCTTTCCCTTCTGTTTGGAATTCTGACCCATGGGATGGAGTGCCCACACTGGAGACAGGTTTACCATCTCAGTCAATCCTGTTAGGGAAAGGTCTTAGGTGTTCCACTACTGCCTTAGGCACTTCTTGATCCACTCAAGATGACAACGGACATAAACTGTCACAGGCCCTGACTGTGGTCTCAAGCATCTCATCAGGTGCATTTTACATTTGAGCCTATTTCTTCAAACCTCAGGGTCCTGAGCCCTGTTTTCTCCCTATGACCCCCAGGTCCCTGAGCCACGTAGGACAACTGGAGAGGAGAAAGAGGCTTAAGATCTTGTGGTGTGGGGACAGAAGCCAAAAAGATGGCCATCACACATGGTGACATTCTGACTACCACAGAGGCTGGTGGGAGTGGCCTTTGGGAGGCAGGAGAGAGGTGATGCCTCTCCTTGCTTCATTCTACACCATTCCAGCTAAGAGAAAAAAGTGAACAATCAGCTCAGAGTCACCCAAGCAAATGGAGAGAATCAGCTGTTGGAGCCCAGCTCTGCCACATACTGCCAGTGGCCTTGGGCAAATGATCTCATCTTCTTAAGCCTCAGTTCCTGTTTGCATAGAGGAGAGGAGTCATCTGAAGAACAGGGTGTGGCAGGGACGGAGTGAAGCTCAAATGGCACAGACACTCACTGGAGTCTCCCAAGCCCCAACACCTGCAGTAGGGAGCTTGTCCTGAGATCCGGTTAGCTGCCAGTCTGGTTAGCTGACCAGAGAGGGATCCTGCTGGACAGTGCCAGCCCTGAGTCAGATGCACAGCCCATCGCTTCCACGATCACTACCTTTTAGCAGCTGTGCACTGTGCAAACAGGAGCAAAGTCCAGTATAGCTAATGGCTATGCTCACTGGACGTGTTTTTTACCTATGTCATCGAATTGTCCCTCTATGCTTAGCATTAGTTACTGAAGTCCAAACAGGCTAATCCACACCCTAAACCCCACAGGACCGGCCGGGGAAAGTGCTACTGTTTATTCCATATCCTTTAGTTCTAGGATCGAAGCCTTCTCTACGCACAAAATTGAAGCCAAAGGCTTGAAGGACATATCCTGGTAAATGCATCTTGGGCACAGCTGGAGAGGTCAGCCTGAGAGCACCAGCTCCCACTGTCCCTCTAGCCTTACCTTGCTTGTCTGCTGAAGGGGAATGGTCCACACCCCACAGGCCAGGAGAGGAGTAGCTGGAGAGGCCACACAGGAGATGCCAGAAAAGGATAGGCACTGCGTGCATAGATATGACTGTGGCTGAACCTTGGGCCCTCCACGTCTTTGTCTCCTGTCACCTGAAGGTGACTAGCTATCTACTGGGCAGCTTGGTTCAAGAAGGGACCTTAGGGACTGCTGTTTACATGGCAACAGGAGGCCCAGGTGCCACAGGTGTGATTAACCTTATCTATCCTGTAATGCCCTGGTTCCAGGTCTGCTGCCTGCTTGGGAGAGGCAGGGACCCAGGGGCCTTTCCAAGATCTCCCCAGGGAAAAGTATACTCACAGTTCGTTGTCTCAGGGCTGGATGGAGACCAAGGCTGGGGAGACAGAGCCCTGTGCTAGTCCGTATTTAAACAGTGGGTACTGAGGGGCTGTGGGGGAGTCTGTTAGTGAATATTAACCAAGGTCGTCACAGTTATCAGAGGAGCAAACAGAGAGGAGCTAAGTCCATCCACTGGGCACAGAGCTACCACCCACATTGTCCAGGACAGAGCTCAGCCCTCTGGGCTCCTGAGGCAAAGCAGTCAGAGCATCCCTCATGAACACAGCATCTCATGGGCGCCTGGTGTCCCAAGTCACATGGCCTCCGAGAAGGCATCGCATGGCTGGCCCGGCACCCTCCTGGGGATGCTTGGGTTGCCTCCAAAGTAAAATCAATATTTTCTGAGTCACCTCCCTCCAAATGCCTGGAGCTGAAGACTCACTGCCTCCACAAGGGGCCCACTTGGTGGATGGAGAAACAGGCTCTGAACACAGAGAGTGCGCCTTCCAAGTTTGTACATACAATTTGTATTTCCTCTACAGGAAAATAGAATGCTAGCGACACACTCATGACAGCGCTGGTGCAGAGGGCCCTGGGACAGGCTAGGGGGCAGAGAATAGGAAGGAAGAGCTGTGCTGTCCTAGACAGATTGGTTTACCTCTCTGAAGCACAGACTTCTCTAGGATGGCAGACTGTATAGCCAGCACGGTTGCCAGGGGCACACAAAGCCTGGGTAAAGACTGCATGGAGCAAATGCTTCATCTCCTCAGCCTAAATTCCTTCCGGCCTCCCATCCCCGCCTTCCCCTCCTCTGAGCAGTGCCTGTTTCCCACTGATTCCAAGAAGCTAGTGTGGGAACTTTCCTTAGGGATTGGGCAACTCTGAAGAACTGGTCTCTTGAAGCTTCTGTCTGTGGTTTGGAGGGGTCCAGGGTTGGGCTCTCCACTCTGATCCTTTTCAATGTCTCAATCACATTCGATCTACCCTGTGAAGGGTGTGAGTGGTGAGTTTGACCCTCCCCACCTCCACCTACTCTCCTGGCTCTGGGCCCCACACACCAGATGTTAGGTGGATGAAGGATGGTCATGCTTCCATCTTCTGCCACTCACCAGTTGCCCTGTTGCTTGACCTTAGGATTCTGCCTAATGGGTGTTCCACAGGTTTCTACAGAGCCTGAGGTCAGACCTCAGTGCAGCAGATGGATCTTTTCACCTCCTGTGCCTCAGTTTTCCCATCCCTATGATGGAGACTGTGACACCACAAAGCTGCTACAAGAACTATACACAGCAGTTCAAGGGAAGTTGGGAGCCTAGTGCTCCAGGTATCGGGCCGGCTCTTTGGGATGATGTCCCTGTCAGTGGGTCTCCTGGGTGCCAGTGGGTAGGAGTGGAGGCATAGGGTGGGGCAGAGTGAGTTGCGTTCTGAGGGCTTCCCTCCAGGCATTGTCTCATTCAGTGCCCTCTGTAGGTCTGAGGGGCCAGTAGATGTATACCTCCTTCACAGGAAACAACTCAGCTCTCCTTCCCACACCCCCTGTTCCCTTTCCCCAGCACCTGTCTTCCTTCTAGTCCCTCGTGTTGGAGGATATCTCTTCTACATTTACCCAGAGTTGTTCTTGGGGTTCAACTCTATCTACTCCCCCAAAGCGTGTCTTTCCCTCTCTGGGCCTGTCGCTCCATCCTTACAATGGCTACTCATGTGACCTAGCTGCTCCTCCCATCTGTTGCTCTAAGACTGCGGCAGGTGTATGTCTTTGTTGGCCCCTCCATGCCCTACCCCAACACTACCCCCTCAGGTGGGCAGTGGCCTGCCAACAGGCCGGAGTTCCCAGCACTGTACCTGAGAATCCTGGCCAGGCTCCCTGCAGCCATGCCTCCTGCCCCTCCAGTGGCTGCTGGTTCCCCCTCTTCCTCAGGATCAAAATCTTGGCTCCCAAGGCTGTGTCAGGAAGCTAGTGCGCTAAGTGTTTCCAGACTCTGTCTGCCAGGGATGAGAGTAGCTTTGTGTGGCAGCGTTAGTACTGGGAGGGGCAGGAGCTGGGGCAGGAAGGGGCCTCGCCCTGTGCCAGGAGCACATCAGACTAGCCCTTCCTGGCCCAAGCAGTGCTGGGTGCCACTTACTGTACTGGCTGTGTCCCCACAGTATGACCCAGCATGGGTTCATCCACATTGGCTTGGAAAAGTACTGGTCCCCTCTCTGAAAGGAACAGTGGCCCTGGATTAAGGGCCTCGGTGTCCTGGCCTACAGCCCAGCCCCAGCATCTTTCCAGGCTACCTGGGACTACAGCAGCAAGAGGACTGTGCCACTCTTCCATACCCAGCTGAGCCCTTGAGGCTGGGGCAGGGGTGTGTATGCGCCTGTGTGTGTTCATATCCTAAGTATGTCAGGAGCGACAGTGGGTGGGCCAGGCCATATGAAAAAGAACGGAGGAGGCTAAAAATGGGAGTCTCTGAGGCGAGTGGGGTCTTCAGGTAGAGAACCTACCAATTTTGTCCAGAAACCTAATACCCAGTCCTGCTTCCCCTCTGGATCAGTATGGGAACAAGGGAAGAATGCTGGGGGAGGGAACCAGAGCCACCGTCCAGGCCACAGCGGGGAAAGTCTTGTCTACCGGTTACTTCTAAACTGTCTATGGCTACATCTAAGAGGTAAAGGACTAATAATATGATGCTAGAGAAACTCTACTCAGGGTTCTACCTAGGTGTGGGGGCCTTGAGTATGTGCTGACAGTGGCTGAGCACTGAACTTGGCTTCTGCAGCGAAAAGGGGAGGAGGGCAGGGCTGGGAGAAGGCTGGCCAATTGCATCCAGGATGTAAGGGAAAGTGATGTCAGACTTGGGAATAGCATTCTGAGAGGAGTATGGCCTGCTACACACACACACACACACACACACACACACACACACACACACACACACA